GAAGGTCATGGTAGCTTGCAAACGGAACAATCCTTGGGCAATTTCCTCATTTTTAGTAAAAGATGATTATCCTTAGCACTTCTGCATTTTTTTCCTGTTTGTGCTACCAATTTAAGAAATTAGACACACGGCTAAGTCCTCCAGGAATCAAAAGTCACTGCTTCTTCATTTCAAATGACAAATCACTTCTCAGCCAGCCAGGCCAGTGTCTTTATTTGCAACTGCTCAGTGGATCTAAATTTTTAATAGATTATTCAGTTTCCAGGATAGTCCTGGAAAGTAGAGGAAAATCCATGATGACACCCTGGAGAGGAGCTGCAATGACATCTCTGCTAAAGGCCAGCCATTCTACTGCAGCTGCCTGAGGTCAGTGAGGCACAAGAGGTTTTGAAGCAGCAGCAGCAGCTGTATTGAGCTACATCAATCACCACCTCACTCATCCTCCATCACAAATACTGCTCCCTGCATATCTTCAAGTCTGTTTTCCAGTTTGAAAGGGATTCCAGCCATACAGAGGTGGCCAACTTGTAAGGAAACACAAAATTTATAATAATACTAAAAAACCAGTATCACACCACCTTCTCAAACCTCCTGCTCCCATCCCTTTGCAAATCTGCCTTTCCTCCCTCCAACTTCATATTTTTATTTTCTGTCCACTACATAGCTAAAGTGGTAGTTAGGACACATTCTGGCTGGCTGACATCTTAATAAATGCTCTAAGGTTGCTGCTAGGTGACAACCACCATGTGAGCTTATGCAGACTGATTATGGGGAAAGAAATAACTAGCTGAACATTTTTTATAGCCAAAAAGATAATGCTACAGCCACCAGCTTACATGCTTTGCTGCTACGGTCCCAAGAAGAGGTGCAGAAAATTTATCTTTTGCATCTTCTGTGATTGTTCTTCTTTCCCTGCTTTTTACATGTGACTTGGGTTATTTTCCTGCAAATATTTTACTATCACATGTAGGACTTGCATTAAAAAAACCAAAACAAACATACAAGACAATTTATATTGAAATGAGAACAGGGAAGAGAATCAAAATAAAAATATTTCCAAAATAAATATACGGATTGTTTAGACTAGAACATGTGCTTGGTTGCCATTCATTTCAGCCTTGTTCGTGCTTGTTTAACACATTTTCAGATCTGTTTACTCTAAGGCATAGTCCAACACAAACGTGGAAATCAAAGGAGGAGGAAAAGGCATATAGGAGCTGAAATAATTTGAAAATGACCAGATTTGATGTTGTAAGTGCTAAAAAACCAGCACAGCTAATTAGATGTTTGTCAATGGCAGGAGCCAGCCATGTCTCAGGGATGCCATGGCAGCTGGGAGTGGGACCAACACCATCTCCACAGAAAGCACACATGGAGGCAGGAGAGCCTGGCTGGCAGGGACACCCAGCTCCAGATGCCCTGGTTGCAGCTCCCAGCCCTGCTCTGTGCCAAAGCCTGTGTGCTCCCTGCCTTTGGCCCAACGCTGCTGGGTGCCAGTTCCTGCCTTGCACCTCACAGAATGCAAGGCTGGGGCAAGGGGGTGATCTCAGTAATGAACTGAACCAAAATATACCCTCTTCCCTCCACACACCTCACCAATCACTCTCAAATAATAATAAAAGGAGGTTTTTATATGTGTTGAATCCAAATCCAAATAACTCACTAAGATTACAGAATAGTTCACTGACACACAGATGGGAAATTCCTGGGCGCCTAGTACAAAACACACAGATAAAAGAGAAACACTAACAGAATTTCTGCTAAATTAGTTCTGCTTTTAATAACTGAAAGCTTCAGTTTTCAATACAAAGCAGCAACAAACCCAAAGAGTTTAGTAACACAGAACTACCTAATGCAGAGTGACCACTAGCTCCCCACAAGCCCCTTTCACATCTTCAAATTGCACTGGCATTCAATTTCTATACAATTAGACTTGCATTCTTTTCTTAGAGATACCATGGCGCTGTGTCAAAGACTGAAGGATGTTCTGAAAGGCTTGTCAGTAATTAAGCAGATTGGGCAGCACTCTCCCTGCAGTATTTTCAAACAGATTTCTTGTGTCAACAGGCCAACTTCCCTACCAGACTTTCACCCCCACCCCCAAATTCCCAAGTTCAGCATTACAGATTACCCCCATGCTATTTGTCAGCACGAAAACCTGTGTCAGCAGAATAATTTTATCTGCTAAACTCGTTTGCCAAGGGCTGCCACATCCTGGACTGCTTTCCATAATCTTAAAACACCAGAACAGCAGTCTCAGCATCCTCCATGAAACATTACAAACACCTCACCACACACACAGGCAACAAGACTTAAGACTGATTAAAAAAATTATGTGTTAGTTGTTATTAGTGCAACACACATCCACTAATGCAGAGAAAACACAGATACACACAGAATGTGCAATCTGAGATCAGCCACCCATCCAGATGGGATTGCTCTGTGGGATGCTGAGCCCAAACACTGCACCTTCACTGATCCACTGCAGGCCATGGAGGCTCTGCAGGACTGCCTGCTCTTCAGCCTCACATCCCCAGCCCTAAACAATCCAATTGTTTCTCTGCTTTCTCTGGTTTGACAGAAAGAGGTAACCTATACATCTGCCCTTTTGTTTTACCCCTAGTCTTCAAAAAATCCTACCACTTCCCACAAGAACTTGAAAAGCATCTTACAATAAAGCCAGCTAAGGGAATTTAAAAGTCTGCTACAGATTTTAGGGGGTGAATTTCCCATGATTTTGCTTTTTTGGCTGTCACACTCTTTGCAACGGTTCATTGGTTTTAAGTAACAAAATATTCACTGCTAGTATGTTTGGATCAAAATATCCTGAGCCTAAATGCTGGCACACCTCCATTCAGGTGTGTAAGTGAAATGACTTCTTACATAGAAAAATTGGCAACACGAGGTTTCAGAACATATTTACCTCCAGCTAACCACTGCATGGAAATTAGGGATTCCACAGTTAGCTAACTGGGGGGAAATAGTGTTTTTGCTGAACTATAAGCTAGCATGGATATCATCACAAAAAAAGTTACTTGTTTCTGTAAGAAATTGCAGGGACTGAAAAAAAGGACATATATTGGAAGCTTCTGTTGTTAAGGACTAAGCAGAACAGCAATCCTGTCATGCTCATGGAGCTGCCATTCAGTGACACCTTTATAAAAGGAAGAAAATGCGTATGGGAGGAGTGAAATCTAAAGAAATTGTCTGTATAACTCATATTCCGGGTCTTCTAAAGAGCATTGCACAATCAAACATTCACACCACCTTGATACAGCCTAGCATTTTAATTGCAGTGTGAGCATTTCTTCTGCTAGGGAGGACAAAAAACAGGAGGAGTAATTCCTTGCAAATTTGCAATTACATTTCTCTTCATTGCCTAAATCCAGTGCTGATGCAAACCACCTGGTTCAGGCACAGCAGTTACACTGGCACGCTCAGCTACTCTACAGGCCAGGAACAGTTAGACACCCAAGGATTTCTTCTTGCTTTATCTACTTTATTAAACATTAAACCTGTCAGAAAGTTAACCCTGTCACATTCCTATAGTTACTGAGTGCTGCAAAGACATGAACACAACATGACCTTCCAGACCACTCTGACAGCAGTGCCTTGCCATTGAGCTCAACACCTTGCTTATTTTTAGGGGTAGGGAAGATGTCACAAAACTTCAGAGCACTGTGGTAAAAGACTTTCCACCCACCTCTCTGTTCTCAAGCCTTTCATCACGAACAAGAATTTCATGCATTCCATCATCTCACTGCAATGCAGACACAAGTACATTTCCCCCAGCTTCAGAAAGATGACTGGCTCTAGTAATTCTCAACCAGTGTCTATCTCAAGTGAATAGTAATGCTTCAAATGTAGATGGGATGTACAAATCAATCCCTTAGTATCTGGAAGATGACTTTTCTGCCTGATAGTCAAAAATCACAATACAAATCCTAAATACACTAAGAAACGGTCTACCTTAACATCATCCATATCAAAGCAAAATTATCAGCTCTATTTCACTTCCTGATATAAATAATATTTGCAGTAAGTGCAAATACTTCAGAAGTAATTTCAGCTTTAGCAATTTTTCTAATACTAAAAATACAAACATCACTTTCTCAAAATTTATCACAGTCAGAAACAAAATCTTCCTCCGTATTTATCCCATTCCTTTAGTTTGACTGGGATTTTGAGGACAAATGCGGACACTGCTCACTGGGATCCTACTGAAATATTATGCCTCTTTGAAAAAGTGAACAGCTCAATCAAAAAGGTCTTTATGTTCCAAAGCAAGTTAAATAGACAGGTATGTGCAAGAAGTATTTCTTTTTATTCTCCCTTCTTCCACAGATTTCTTTATAAAGTGTCTGGCAAGTGATGTAGCTTTTCCCTGCTGTTCTCTGGCTTCTACACTCCACTGATAACAGTTCAAACAAGAGAAGTTTCTGATTATCACTTCAGCTAATTAAGGAGAGGGAACAACTTCTTTACCAGACCTGGGAGACAGACCTGGCTTACTCTGTAAAGAGGGTGCTGGACACATCTTAAGAGTCAGGGCTGCAAGGCATGGAATATACAGCAGGGTTTCCTGAGTATTTTGAATACTAAAGCAGCTTCAAGTCATAGCTGCTGAAATTAGCACAGGTATGAGCAAGCAGATAAGCTCTCCAAGTCTGACTTTTTTTTCCTAAAAGGATTCTAAACATGGTTCTTAATCTCTACAGGCATAAATGGAGCAGACAAACTGCTGAGTGCTGGCACTGAATAACAAAATGCCAAACCAGAAGAAATGAGATGTAAAAGATCCAGCCCTTATTGCCAGAAGGATTCCAGAAGAGGAAACATTATACAGATGCATCTTCCCCTAAGCAGGAGGAGAATAAACGACAGATTTCAGATTTCAAGCTCAAGGCTTTAAAACACAAGACTGGCTATTATTAATGATTCAAACAAAAATCTCAGGACAGCAAACTTGCCAGGCAAAGAGGAATTTCTAAGCAGCTTACCTCAATGGACCATAATTCAACATTATAAAGGCCAGTATCACCATCACACAGAGTGTCCTTCTCTTTGGAGATGATACTTTGAGCTTCTGGTTCTAGACAGAGAAAACAGAAGACACTGAGTAGAAGAGAGGTACACATATGCAGGGGTATAGCAGAAGCAAAGTACATACACCAAATTATACTTGATTTTTAGATTTATACTTGCCTAATTATGTGAATATGTTCCTGAACTACTTAAAAACAAAACTTTGGTTTAAACATTATGATCAGCTTCTATCCAGTGAAATATTCAGAAGCATCATGAAGTAAAGAATGAAAAGTCCACCAGATAATGTGTCAGCTATCCTGGCCTAGAGTTGGTGAAAGTCATGCTTGGACCAGGATGCTGGGCCAGAAACCCTCAAAGGTCTTATAGTCAGTATTTCCCCAACTCTGCTGTGGAGCCTTCCACCTGAACAACTGTCTTCATATGAAATCAGACTTTCACCACAATCTCCTACCTCTAGTACCACTTCATCCAGCTGCCTCTTCAGCGTGCTGTTTTCTTTCTTGAGTTTCTCATTCTCCAGCAGGGCTGCCTCCAGCCTGGCCTCCAGTCCCAACATGTATTCCTTCTTTTTCTTGCGTGACTGAAAGGCTGACTCACGGTTTTTAATCATGCGCTGCTGCCGCCTCAAGACATTGACCTGAACACACAATACACAGGCTGTTAACAATCCACAAGTTAAAACTGTCTCCATTCCACACAGAATTTCTGCTTCTCTGCTTTGTCAGAGCTCTGCACAGATAGCTTCCCATACTCTGCTTCAAATGAGCTGCAATGGTCAGCACAGAGGCACCTCAGGATCATGGTACACCTAAGGAAAAAACAGGTCCTGAACTGTCTCTGTTTTCTTCTGTATTCTCAACATTCTATATGCAGGGGTCATCAAACATATACTCAAGTTTGATTTGATCAATCACATCACAAGACAGAAAAGAACTTATCTTCAGGTCTGCAAGGCAGCAAGAATGTCTTTTACCTTGACTTCTCCCTGCACCATTTTACAGCCTACAATCATCTGCTACATTCAGGTTACAGTCATCTGCTTTCCTAACAGAAAATTTCTAGGGTTTTTCAGTCTGTTCTGTATGGAAGTCATTTCCATACTGATTACACCTGCTTCTGTACCTTTACCACCTATGCTACACAGTTTTTGAGATTTTGAATAGTGTTGCTGATCTCAGATTGCACATTATGTGCGTATCAAGCACTCACACGGCAGTTTAAATGCACTCACTGGGTGCATCTACACTAACATCTTAATTCAGATCAGGAGTGTGGCTTGGGTTCACATTTCCTGACTGTCCCACTAAAAGTGCTTTGCTTCACATCTCAGACCAGTCTCTGAGAGCACACGAACTGGATTCCTTCGGGATGAAGCTCAACCAGCAAACATGCTCCAGGAGAGCACATAATTCATTCTAACCACTAGCAGGCATTCAGTCTGCAAGACTAGACTGGGACAGCTCAAAGCAACCCCTCCCCATCCTCCAACAATCCTGATGACTGATTTTTTTCCCAAGCAGGAACACTCCATCATCTTTTACCACTTAGTCATTTTGTGGCTTGCACTGAGTGGGACGACCCAGACCAAAAGCATCTTGCTGCCGACAAGGATAACAAGGATGAATACTGCAGAACTATACAAAACTACTTGAAATCCTAAACTTAAACACTAGATTGTTGATTTCCTTTCACTCACAGATTAGCAACAGTGTTTTCATTAGGAAGAGAAGAATTCCATCACATTTTTAAGCTGCAATGGGATGTGCCTCAATGATGATTACACTGACAGATAACTGAATGATCCATCTTACATAGACCTGAATATCCTTCAGTACCTACCAGCAAAGGCTCTGGTGTAATCTGTATCTCCCAGAGCAGGAACATTAAAGAAAAAAGATGAGAACTATTCCAGAAGTATTATTCTAGGGAAATAGTATAATCTGTCACAGAACAGTAACATTAACTAACTCAGATTTTTGAGTCTGGCTATGCAAAAAACCTTAACCAAAGCTTTTCAACTCTCTCCTTGTATCTACCTGCACACAGACAATATGCTGTTCTAGGGCACTGGCATCTTCAACAAAAAGTGGCCACAAGCTGTTTGAAGAACCATTCTTCTTGATGCTGCAGTTTGGTGACAAAGATGAAGAAAATGTGTTACAGTGCATTAATGTTCTGGGTTGCCTCCATGTTGGTCTAATTGCTTTTTATAAAGATCATTTATTATATATCTAGCCTGCTTTCACCAACCAAAGTCCAAGAAAGTGAAGCTGTTTGTACTTACTCAGTTTCTCTCTTTAGCAGGGGGTGGAGAAGGAAAAGATTTTAACATATTTTCATTAACACTAAGCTTTGTCTTGAATTTTTTAAGTACAACATTTAACATAAAAAAGCTTCTGCAGACATATAAAAACTGGACCAAAAAAAAGATTCAGGCTAGCCAAGAACTGCAGCGTACAGAACACATCAGTCTGGGGCCAGGATCTCTTAAACTGTTCAGAGATGAAAAAACAAGGCATGAGTTCATGCAGCAGCTTTGGCTCAAGTTGTGAGCTATTCCAAACAAGGAGTTACATTCCCCTTTCAAAAAAGACATTCTGCATTTTGAACTCAGAAAAGACCAAATTGTTTTCATCCATTCTTGTTTACAGACCTGCTCAGGATTATTCATTACTGGACAGCTTTTAATTACATGTCTGGAACCTCTGGCAAATCTACATGCTTCCCTGAAGAAAATAAGGTGTTAGAGCACCAGTGCAGTGGCTCTATACTAAAAGCACATCCTAACATACACCAGTCACTGTTTCAGACACTGCCATCTACATTTTATGTGTCACTTATCCGGACTGGTCTACTTTACTTACAGTTGCCCAAATGCTGTGAGGAACAGCAACTCTCCCCAGCTGATTCCAGGTACTCTGTGCAGTAGCTGCATTTCAGTATATGCCTCACCAACTACATTTTGACTAATTTTTAAGCCCTGCTGAAATGAAATCCAGTATTTGTGTCCCTAAGTTATTTTGTTTTAATTTACAATCCTTAAACAGCTTAAGGTCTTTCTTGGTCAGCCCTCCAGGTCTTGCCCGGCTTTTCTCAGGGAATATGCCACAACTGCACACCCAATCCCAACTAAATGTGATGCAGGAAAAGGAAAGAGCTGTGTGAAAGTCCTACAGGAATGCTGAACCTGGAAGCAGTATGGTAATCAGCATCACACAGCTGGCCTAGCACCAAGGTAAATATGCCCCCTGCCCGAGCATTTTGATACTCAGGAGGGAAAGAAACTAATTTATAATGTCAGTCTGCTTCAGCAACATTGCTTTGCACAAATGCTGAACCAAGATTAAAGGTAGCAAACAGCTCTGCTAACTTCTTTTACAGCCTCCAACTTTTAAAATTGTATCGTATTAATGTTCCACTCAAGATAGCAACTCCTGGTTCTAAGGAAACACAGACCATAGAGGGAGAACTTGGCCTTAAAAACAATCAGTAATTAGTGATGCAACTTCTGCTTTCTAGCTTTGAAAACCACACCACCACTAGCAGAGACACACACAAAAACGCTTGTAAATATGGAGAACTGGCAGGTTCATTGCAAAGCCCTGCTTTAAAGAGCACTAACCAGATTCAGATTGTCCTCTATCTTCAGAGGTTTTACAGAGTCATGCACTTTACAAATAAACACCGCTACCTCCATTTACTTCCAAAGAAAACTCAGTTATGAGCAAAATTTAACCTCCCTTCCAACACAAGCTGTACTTCTAGAAGCAAGAATGTCTCTCATACTCTGAAGAGTTTTTGTACATGTGCTGGGAAAGTTGACAAAGAGCTGAAAGTACAAACCATTCAATGTAGCATTAGCCGGCTTCTTACCTCAGCTTATGAAAGCTATTGTCTTTGAAGATGCATCTTTGATTGCAGGAATACAAGACATATGCAAGGTTTTTTTGTTCTAATGGAAGTTCTGGGTTTTGTCTCTAACTCAACAGAACACAACTTGCTCAATGAGTTTATGTCACACAAATATTACATAATGTACAGCACAGAAATGAGGATTCTTCAAACAGAAATCCACACTTATGCTGAAGTTATTTTGCATAATTAATCTTTTCTAGGTTTTCTGTATTCTGGCACTTGGCACTTCCTTCATGGCTGGTGGGCTGCACGTGTGCCACCAGGACACACGGGGCCTAACACCTACAGCAAGCCATCAGCTCATCCCAGTGTAATCCACTGGCAGTCTGAATGTTAAACTGACAGTTTATCCCTCCTAAGCCCAAAAGAAAGTCCTGCAGTGTTTCTTTTTATGCTGCAACATTTGCTTAGATTAGGAAACAATAACACGCGTGGCAGAGCTCAAATGGCAGTTCCCTCTGTGCAGCCCTGAGCACCACATACAGTGTCCAAGGCAATGGGGAGATGTTTTAACCCTGCTGGCCCCAGCTGAATCCCAAAACATTTGTTTCTTCTCAAAGCAATTTTTCACAGTATGTGCCAAAGAACAGCTGCAACTGTTTTTTCATGCTGTAACAAACACAGGTAAGAAGTGCAGCATTTTGCAAGTCTTAAAACTATTTCCCTAAAATGGCTTTGTGTGGAAATACCAACACAACCACCCTCAGAAACCAACACCTGTTTGGTACTCCAGCTACACATTTGACTCCTGATGTCGTGGATATGTATATGGAATATGATGACAATGAGGGGGTTTTGTCAATTAACCCTTACATTCAGACAATGGCAAGGTGCCATGCTAGCCCTGCTTACAGGGAGTCACAAATCTAGTGACTGCAGGTCATTGATTTGTGGTCTCTCGACTTAACTTTGCATGATGGGTAATTATCATTAAAAAATGCAGCACACTTAAATGCCCTGCCTACTACAGACCTTTGCTTTCTGCACTTTGAATATCAAGTTTCCACTGTACTCTGGCTGCTAAACTATTGGTAGCACAATATTTTCATTACAAAACTCAGCCCACACACAAAAATGATTAGTGAGGAAAAGTTACTACCAAACCTGAGTGGCAATCCCAGACACCAGGAAATACAGCAGCATCCCTCCAAAGAAGCTGAAGGAACAGGCTTCCCACTGCTTTTGGGAAACAGTGATCTGCACTGCTAATAAGCAGGTGCCTATACAGCAAAATTCCACATGTTTTCACCAGTGTTTTCTCCCTTACACTGAGATGTGATAAGACCCTCAGCTCACAACTGTTCTTGGAATACCCTGCTGGGGAATGACAGAGTTTTGAAGTCGCCAACAAGAAGCTTTGGTCTGTTCTACAAGCATGTCTTCTTTGGACAACAAAATGCAATCAAAGCAGTTCCAAGTTACTAGGAGCTAAATCAAGTTAACACCCAGCTTGCTAGCTGGTTAAGATGTCAGAGCTGAAGGGGAAAAAAAGCCCACACACATCTCAAAAACTACACTTTACACCTACTGCTTACTGTGAGCTACTACTGAAAAACTTACTTATTCACATTATAACTGTTGAGAGCTTAGCCCTCTTCTACTCATTCAATAAATGACCAAAAGGGAGCCTGAAGAGACTAGGATCATATGGAACAGAGAAACTGAAGTTTCTAAAAGTTATTAATAAAATCTGGAGAGATAAATGGGTATGGAAAGAGAATGAAGCATTGAAATTTCCAATTCACCTGCTTCCAAAGAAATGTTTTTACTATATGGATTAGAAAAGTGATTTAGCACTAACCAAAAACCAGATTGACAAATTTTCCTGTATATAAGAGAGGTCCAGCCACTGAGAACTTGCACTTGAGAAGACAAGTTACAGTAAATATCAATCAGCACTGCCTTCTGCCACTACACTTGCACACTTGGTCTGCAGCTCCAGGCAGGCCAGCAGACATTTAGCTGCTCCTCCCTGTTCTGTGCCAAGCTGCTGAATTCCCTGCTTACAGTGGAAATCCTACTGAGGGTTTTCCCGAGACTCTGAAGGGACCATTAGGTCCCACATGCAGGTAACTGCAAGAGGTGCACAAGCCTTGGCTAGCAGCTGTCAGAGTCAGAACTTACATCCAGCCCCATGGCCGGGGAGCTGCTCTGGAGCAAGGGCTTTGTCACCGGGATTTTGCCGCTGCTGGAGCCGTTCCCAGCAGCTGGAGACAGAGCCTTCACCGTGTGGTTCTGAAGTGCTGGGGCCCCTCCAGTGACTGCAATGACTGGCTGGGAGGCAGGAAGCACCCCAGAAGCCTGGAGCTGTACCACAGCAGGCTGGGGCAGCACCACAGATGGACCTGGAACACAAGAACAGCAGCGCTCAGCATGGATGGAATGGATTTATACATCACCACTTTGCAGGGGCATACTGCTATCCTCTCCTGCCTGCACAGCTGATCTCAAATCCATTAGTATATTGCACAGAACAGGAATGGAAAGAAGTTGTTCCGAAGTTTACAAGACTCTTAATCCATCTCACAAATCAAAACTACAGATATTAAAGGAATCCAATAAACCAAGCTCTGTCTCAAAAGCTCTTCAAAGTTAATAAAATTCAACACTTGTTATATACATTACTCAGTATTGCTAATACTTCAAGCACTCTGAACAACCTTTTCACAAAATTTAGCCAACTTTCCTCAATCCTTCTTCTCCCTTTTGTCCATAAGTATTTTATTGCTGTATTCAATGGAAAACTTACAACACAGAAGTGACTCAAGCAACATAGATCAATTCAAACTAGCAGCGAGATGGAAGATGAACAAAAAAGAGCAATGCAAGTTACGTTTTCAAAACTTATGCTGAAGCTTCAATTCACACTAAGACCATTTTTTTAGAAAAGTGTCTTATGCAAGAAAGTTTATACACAAGCTGAATTGAGCTTAAAGAAAAGCCGGCAGAAAAAATGAGGTAATTTTGACAGTTTGAAATGGAATTAAAAACAGTCACCTCCAAGAAATTTCAGTCCAACAACTACATTTAACTCAAGCAGGTGCTTGAGTAATATTTTGCTGTCTGAAAACACATGAATGTCTCTCTAAGCCTTTGTAACAGGATGACCTCGCCAGCTTTCAGAAAGAGCACATTCCAGCTGAGCATTCCAACCAAAATGCTCGACAATGGATTACAGTGCTTATCCAGCCTTCTGGAAGGTGAAAAGTGAAGTAATTTACCTAGTGCCAAGATCTTATGTATGGGGTTAAACTAGACCTTTTTTTTTTTTTCAGGCACAACCTCAAAGACATCATAACTTAGTACAACCCTGTTTAAGAATCTTAAATGATGAATTTGAGATTATTTCAATTTTTTTTTATGTATAAAAGTGATGATGCTCTAAGACTATGCTTTTGCCTTTAAGCGTTTATAAAAGGGGCTGTGAAAATAAAATTTCTCATGCTTCTTTTAAGATAATGGCATATTTCAAACTGGCACTTCCAACTTGTCATATGCAGGGGATTTAGACAGATGAAAAAAGATCCTTATGGTTTTTATTATGGAAGCTCCACAAGAGAAATTTTAAACATGCCATCAGTTGAAGGAAAGCATGGACATACTTTCTCAAAAGTATTTCCTCTATACTGTCTCACAGAAACTACTGTCCTGACTTTTTTTCAGGGAAAAGGAGAAGCTGATCTTCAGAGTACTAGACTTATATCCAAAGAAATCCATATCCCCAGCATTCCTTATTCCAGATGGTATTTTATCAGCTGGAACATCAGAAGGAATAAGAATTAGGTCACGTTGACAATGCTGACATGTGTTTTAAGCAGTCTAGCAATCTTAGGCATGTTACAACAAATGCCAGCATCTCCAGATTTGGCTGAACCCCTGATGGAAGAGAAATCAGTAATGGAGACAAATTTTTCCCAATTGCAATAATTTCTAGATACGTGCCCTTAAGAATTTGTCTCCTTTTCCTCCTTCCGTGCCTCAGCACCCGTGCAATCAACTGCAAGAGACTGTGGCCATCAGCTGGTGAAACGAGCAACTGCAGCTGGCAAGTGCTGCAAGGCAAGCAGGGGCCCTCCTGCCCCGCCTGGAGAGGCACATCCAGAAATGAAAGCTGGAGCCACGGATCCAGAAATGAAAGCTGGAGCCACGGATCCAGAAACGAAAGCTCGAGCCACGGATCCAGAAATGAAAGCTCGAGCCACGGATCCAGAAATGAAAGCTCGAGCCACGGACCCAGAAATGAAAGCTCGAGCCACGGATCCAGAAATGAAAGCTGGAGCTACTTCAAAAACCAATAACAGGGTAACTGTAGCAAAGAAGAATTATCATGGGGCAGGAAGTCACTTTCCTCTTGTTAACATCATCAACTTTTCTAACCTCTGACACAGCTCTCAATTTTTAGCAGATTTCACAACATTCTCTTTAATGCTGTTTTAGTGAGCTAAAAAGCCATAAACCCATGCTCCCTCCATCCTGTGGAAGAGTTTCACGTGGGTAAAAAATGCTTATATCACTTCCCCCAAGCTTTCCAGCTTCCTTCAAGCCATCCTAACTGATTCTACTGGATCTTCCTTCAGTTATGACAAGAACAGCACTGTAATCACCTTATGCACCACCTGACATTGCAAGCAGAGCAGAGCAAAGCATCCCTACAGATCCTTCCAAATCAGCAGTTTTATCTCCACAGCTGCCAGTGTTCAGCACAGCCTCTGTCTTCCAATCCGAATAATGGAACTATATAATCCAGTCCTCCATTTTACACAATGCCCATGTGAGTGCTGTTTCTCACAGGACAGGATGAGAGGAGTAAGGCCATCTTCTCAGCCTAAAGCTTTTCCAGCAATGCATGTAGGACCCTTTTGTCTCCTATTCCTCCTCTTTCATACACCAAACCTAACTCCATTCTACCAGCCAACCCAAACAGACAATGCTACCACCAAGACCTGGCTCAGTCAAGACAATTCACCTACCTTTAGGAGGTGCTGGCTGGATGTTAACAACTGGCTGATTCTTTGGCAGTGGCACAAGCGTGGGAAGAGTCTGAATAATGATGGTTTTAGCTGGGATGCCAATGTTAGCCTGAGCTTCAGGCACAGCAGGCAAAAGGGGTTTGGGTTGTATCAAAGGCCTGGACACTGTCTGACCACACTTCTTCAGGCTCCTTGCAGAATTATTTGCTAGAAAAGGAAAAAGAGTCAGAACTGGACCAAGAGGCATAAAATACATAATTCAAGCTATAATGAAGTAGCTTTTAATGTGGGGTTTTTTATCTATCTGTAATATCTGTTGAAAATAAAGACACCTCATCAAATACCTAAGTAATAAATGACAGGACTCTAGTGTCTGTTAGTTAATAGTATTAATTTGCATGCAAGACAACACACATATTATCTATAGCATGAAAGTAACTCTTTCTCTCATACCAGATCGAGAAGAAATGCTCACAGCAGGCTTCTTCCCTCCATCTCCTTCAGGGGATGCAGGGCTTCTGCAGCTCTTGCTGTAGAGAGAGATGGGAGACATCTGGGAGCTACAGCTGAAGTCCACATCATCCTGCAGGCAGGAAGCACAGGAGATTAGCACTTCAGAAACTCAGAGCAGTATCTACCAGCACTTCAGAGTCTATCTGCTTCTCATCACATCTGTGTTGCTGCTGCAGCAAACATGACAAAGGTTTTACTCTGCAATTTGATTCTGGCTAATGTCAAGTACCACTAAAAAAAAACCCCAACAAGTACTTCTCTCCATCAGCAGAGCAATGGGAGGCAGAGGCCAACCCTGCTAGACCCAGAAGCCTTTAGAAGACATTTTGTTTGTCAACAAGGCTACTGAACATAGATGAGGAAAGAGAGCTGAACGTGTTCTTATTCGAACGGGTCACAAAGAAGAGATAAGAAAACACCACTGACAGGTTTTTGCAAGGGTTGGGAAAATAAGCTGTTTCCGCTTATGCCATGAATTTGGTCAGAGGAGTAAATCCCAGGGCTTTTGGTTTGTCAGAGCTGTTGCTGTGTGTGTTACATGGGGGGTTTGCATACAGGCACATTCTGCACTGGGGAGTCCACAGCCGGTGGTGAAGGGACCGAACAGCTGGAAGCGGCTGGCGATAAAGGCTCTGTCTTCACGTTTGCATCTGCAAGAGGCATGTAAAGACATGTCACTGCACAAGTTTGTAGCAATGGGAAAAGTAAAGAACACACTGTCCTACACCAGATATTTAGTTCCCAAAGCAAGGCACAGCACAAAATGTAAGGAGATTAAAGGTATTGCACAACTTGGCCCGTAGGGCAGCCCTTGCCAGCTGTGTCCATCTCCTAGAGAAACACAGCCTATCTCTCATCACAGAGCAAAGGCTGCAGGGCATCAAACAGTTCCACATGAGTTTTAAGAGCTCACCCTTGTGGGGCAGGAGGGGAAGAGCAACATCTGCAAAATATAGGAGGTTAATTACCTGCATAAGCATGGCCCGTAATATTCCAAAGGTCCGAGTCCCAAGACATCAAATCCAAATCAAAATGAAAGTTATAAAGATCATTTTCCTGAAACGACAGTTCAGAAAAAGAGACAAGACAAAAAGATGCATTGACACCATCAGCAATTATGTTCACATTCCTACAGCTCCAGAAAACAAAACAAACAGCATAACTATCAATCACTTCAGGTGCCTTAAGGTATGCAGAGAATAAAGTCCTTAAGGGAGAAATTCTCAACTGAAACACACAAAACAAGGCTTCTTTTTAACTTACACCAGTAGGAAGGGGCAGGTCAGTTTAAGATCACCACTAATTATCATACTCTTCTTTGTAATTTGTATAGCAAAAGTTCTAAGTTCATTGAACCATCTCACAAAAAACAAAACTCTTAGGAACCTGGTGCCATCCTCTCCTTCATCTGCCTTGAAAAATTTATTTCATGCTTTTCCACCACTACATCTCAAAGCACTTTACAAACAAAAGCAGCACCAGAGGCAGTTTACCAGCAGGAAAACAGACACAAGACTGATTTGCCCAAGACCTGATTAATGGTATGTATTAGGTCTCCCTATAATTGAATACACCAATGTCAATGTCTAAAGCCAAGGACACCAGTTTCCTTTTCCAACAAAAATCAAAACAATCAGGCTAAAATCACTCCATACATATTATTTATCATATGCCCTTTAAAACAACAATTGGGGTTTTTCTCCATTTATTATGCTTGTGCATCTGTAAGTGTCAGTTTCCTGTGCAAATGTGGCCCTTTATAAGCACTTGCATGAAAAATACAGACATGACATACCCAGCTTATACAAATATACAACAAAGATTTTCCTGAAAACCATGCTGCAACTATACCTTCCCTTATACTCTCAACTTGCCCTGTGAAGGGAGGCTCAAAAAGCCTGCAAACTGCATAGATAATGGTATTTTTAAGTTAGAATGAAAAGAAAGCTTATCAGAGCACATTTAAAGGAAGAATGACCAAAGAACTGCAGTGTGAGCTGTGCATTAAGAGCCCTCACCCAGGCACGTAATGCTGACCTGCTGATGGGGAATACCTTTCCCTGTGCAATCAGTCTGTTCCCACATTTTCTCCAGTGACTGGTTCTACACGTGTAGGAATGCTCTTAGAACCTGGGGTTCACATGAGATGATAACCCAGGCTTGTGCTGGAGGTGGACTGGGACACAGAGAGCAGAGACATGGCAGGGGAAGAACATGGAGAGGAGAATCCACGAGGTGAATGCCCCGGGAGAGGAAAAAGCAGTATGGACAAGTGGGCAGTGAAAACGACAGGGATTAATGCAGAAGGTTGCAAGCAAAAGTTTTTTTGAGAAAATCCTACATTAAAGAAAAAAAAAACCAATAAGTAACCTAATAGGCAAAGGGATAAAGAATAGCCCGGGTGGGTGTAGGTGTAACATACCCACCGTTCTCCCAGGTAGCCCCGAGCCAGCGCCCCCCCAGCACTGCCCTGCGGGGTTCACCTTCACCGGGGCAGTGACACCGCCACTCGCCCTCGCCGGCACCTCGCACCCTTACCCTACCGCCCTGCCTGGCACCCTTACCCTCACCCCCTGCCTTGCACCCTCCGCTCCGCTCCGCAGCCGTGCCCGCAGCGCTTCAGCCATCGCTATCTCCGGGCGCAGGCCGGGCGGCCACGCTCTCCTACCAGGCTGCTCCGAGGCCCCCCGAGCCGGGCCGGGGCTCTCACCGCCGGCAGAGCGCGGACCCGGCCCCCGCCATCCCCGGTACTCACGTCGGGCTCGTCCTTCGGGGCCGCGGCGCCCAGCAGCTCGCTCAGCTCCTCGCCCAGCACAGCCTCTGCGGAGAGAAAAGGGCTCAGCGCCGGCCCGGCCGCGCCGGGGAGCTCCGCGCCGGCCCGGCCCGGCCCCGGCCCCGCGAAGCTACGCTCACCCCAGTCCAGGCCGCCCCCCGGGGCGGGCAGCAGCCCCGCCGGCTCCCACTCGGCCTCGGCCGCCGCCATCGCTTCCCGTTCCTCCCGAAACACACGTCTGCTTCCGGCAGGGCAGGGCCCGGCCCGCCCGCCCGCCACGGCGGCCGCCGGCGGACAGTCGGAGGCAGCACGGGCTCGCACGGCCGCTCTGCGCGCTCCGAGCTCCGCAGAGAATCACAGCTGCAGCTCGGCTGGGAAAGACCTCTGAGATCAGCGAGCCCAGCCCATGACCCGACACCCCCTTGTCACCCAGACCATGGCACTGGGGGCCCTGTCCAGTCCTTAAACACCTCCCAGGGCAGCCCAGTCCAGTGTCCGGCCACCCTTTCTGTGTAGAAATTCCTGTGAATGTCCAACCTGAACCTCCCCTGGCGCAGCTTGAGGCTGTGTCTTCTTGTCCTCTCAAAAATAACGTGGGAGAAGAGGCCAAACCCCACCTGGTTACAATCTCCTTTCAGGCAGTGGTAAGGTTACCGCTGAGCCTCCTTTTCTCCAGGCAAAACAACCCAACTCCCTCAGCCACTCCTCATCAGTCTTGTGCTCCAAACCCTTCATCAGCCTCATAAACTTCTCTGGACATGCTCCAGCACTTCAACATCCTTCCTGAACTGAGGGGCCCTGAACCAGACACAGCACCCCAGAAGTGGCCTCACCGGTGCCAAGTCCAGGGGAAGAATCACTTCCCTAGTTGTGTTGGCCACATTATTTAATGAAAACTTTTCCCCACACCAGGCACACAGGAGGCATTAGTTAGAGAAAGGTATTTATTCAGACCCCGCTGACACAAGCTCATTGGTAGAAGCGTGAGTGGAGCAGCTATTGGGGAATGTCCAAGGGCTGGGTGGCAGGCTGCCCTCAGCACATGGCTCTTGGCCCCTGGTGGGTCTCCAGCAGCCTGCACTGGAGGCAGCTCCCCTTGCCAGGGGAATGCTGCACACGCAGCATGGTGGCAATGTCCAGGGGCAGCTCTGGTCCAGGCTACAACCACAAACAACCACAGGCATGGAGTCTCTGTGTGCTCCCACAGCAGCTCCTGCTGGGCCTGCAGCCCTGGGGGACACAGTAGGTTTCAGTCTCAGGCAGGCTGGAAGCACAGGTGAGATGGAGCTGGTGTTACCCACTCCAGTCCCAAGGGGTGTCCCCTCCCAGGAGCACCCCAGCCAGGAAGATGGCCACCCAGGTGAGTTTTGAACAGGGTGCTGCGAGGGTCTCGCCCGGCCCCACCTCACAGATTGGCATCATATGCTGAGTTGGTGAAAGTGCCCGGCGCTCCCAGGTCACTGGAAGGCAAACACAAGGATGTCACCTTGGGGAGTGCAGGAGTGTGTGAAGGCCAGGAGTTAGCACAGCCCTGTTGGCCCCAGAGATGCTCCCGTAAAAAACTAGGAGCATCTGCCTGCTCACACAGGCAGATCTGGTTGTCAGCAGGGTGAACATAGGCCTGTGACAGTCACAGGGCAGAGCCACCCTCCTGCGGAGCACAGCTCTCACCTGGTGGGTTTCAGGAGCTTCCTCTTCTCCTCTGATAACAGTGTTGAAATGTCCATGGGCATAAAGCACATAGAAAAGAAATAACCAGATCTGTTTAGTGAAGGTCACAAGAAGCTGCAGCAGCAGCATCTGAAATTGAGCGGAGTTGAGCAGGCATGAGGTGGGGCTGCCTTAACAAGGATTTGCTGCCTTCTTCAGAGTGATGATGTTTATCTGGCTCTGCCCTCCAAACCTGGCTGCTGACATTTTTAGCTGGACCAACTGCCAAGGACCCAAACAACTCAGCAAATAAAACATATGAACGGAGGCAGTCACACTGTTAAACGCTTCTGATCACCCCAGCCCTCCCCTGGGACTGTCACCACCTTGCCTGAGAGCCCCTGGCCAAAGCTAGAGGGGGCTGCAGGAAGCATTTCTGTACCTCTGTCACTGAGCCTCTTGGCAAGGACGGCAATGAGTCCCCCAGAGAGCACAAGACCAGCTACTGCCAGGGCTGAGCCACTGCTGTAAGCCAGGACTTGCTTTAGGAAGGCACCGTCCTCTGAAACAAAGCCACAGAGCCATGTGTTAGAAAGTAGTCGGCATTTCACAGCCCCTGGAGTCCCCCTCCACCACATTCAAGATGTCCTTGGAGGAAAGCTGGAACTTCCACATGCTAGAGGAGCTGGGGTACCTGCACAGACAGGGGGATCCCTGGTCCAGTTCCCCGTGGCCTCACACTGGAGCATCTCTGCTCCCATCCGAACAAACCCCTCCTCACAGGAAAAGATGCACGTGGAGTTGTAGGTGAAGTTCCCATGCACATGAGAGCAGCTCAGCTGGCCTCTGCTGGGGGGGGACAGCACTGGGCAGCTGATGGCTGCAGACAAAGCACAGCAGGAGCATCAGGAGGACAGGACTGATGGCAATGAGATGGGGTTGTGTGGGCTGGCAAGCCAGGGGATAAACTGCCATAGGCCAGGGTGCTGGGGAGAGCACTCTGCTACAACAGATCCGTGTGAGATCACAGGATTTACCTTTGCAATGTGTGGGGTCCCCTGTCCAGGTCCCCGTGTCTGTGCACTCACGGCTCTCCGGCCCCTTCAGCACAAACCCCTTCTGGCAGGAGAAGGCACACGTGGAGCCAAAGGTGAAGTCCCCATGGACGTGGGAGCAGGCAGCCTGGCCCATCTTGGGGGTGGTCAGTGCTGAGCATTTGATGGCTGCAAGGGTAAAGAGGCGCAGCTCAGAAAGGAGCCTGGGAGACCACACTGCTGGGACCAAGGGGCTGGGGACACATCATAGTGTCACGCCACAGCCAGTGACACCCTGAGCTGTGGCAGCAGCTCTACCTTCACAGCGTGGGGCATCCCCTGTCCAGGTCCCTGTGGCTGTGCACTTGTGACTGTCTGACCCCATCAGCACAAACCCCTTTTGGCAGGAGAAGGCACACGTGGAGCCAAAGGTGAAGTCCCCATGGATGTGGGAGCAGTTCAGCTCTCCCTTTTCTGGAGCTCTGAGCACTGGGCAGGTGACAGCTGCAAGGACAGAGAAACATTTTCAAGCTGAAATGTGGGTACTACAAGGCTAGACTGTTGAAAGAACAGGACCAAGAGGGTCCTCTAGTGAACATCCCTTGCTCAACACAAGGCCTGTGACACCTTGAGCAGCAGCAATACCTTCACAGTGTGATGTGTTCCCAGTCCAGGTCCCCAGGGCTGTGCACTCACGGCTCTGCAGCCCCACCAAGGCAAATCCTGTCTGGCAGGAGAAGGCACACACGGATCCATAGGTGAAGTTGCCATGGAGGTGGGAGCAGTGCATCTCCCCCTGGTCTGGAGCACTGAGCACTGGGCAGGCAATTGCTGCAGGGCAAAAAGCACTCTTCAGGCAGCAGCTTGGGGACTATGAGGCTGAATTCTTGTGATGAGAGAACTAAAAAGAAAATATCCCAAGGTCTGCCCAAGGCCAGTGACAGCTTGAGCAGCAACTCTACCTTCACATCTTGTTGCATCCCCCGTCCAGGTCCCCGTGGCTGTGCACTCACGGCTCTCCGGCCCCTTCAGCACAAACCCCTTTTGGCAGAAGAAGGCACATGTGGAGCCAAAGGTGAAGTCCCCATGGACGTGGGAGCAGTTCAGCTCTCCCTGGTCTGGACCTCTGAGCACTGGACAGGTAATGGCTGTAGGGGTGGAGAAGCACTTTGAGCAGGAGTCTGAGGACTACAAGGCTAAACTGTTCATCCTGAGAAGCCTCAGGGGAACCCTAGTGTCACCCCATGGCCAGTGACACCCTGAGCTCCAGCAGCAGCTCTACCTTCACAGTATGGGGTGCCCCCTGTCCAGGTCCCCAGGGCTGTGCACTCACGGCTCTCCGGCCCCTTCAGCACAAACCCCTTCTGGCAGGAGAAGGCACACGTGGAGCCAAAGGTGAAGTTGCCATGGAGGTGGGAGCAGTGCATCTCTCCTTTTCCTGGAGCACTGAGCAGTGGACAGGCAATTGCTGCAAGGACATAGAAACAGTTCAAGGAGGAGTCTGTGAACTACAAGGCTAAACTGTTTGGTCTGGGAGACTGGGGAAACCCTAGTGTCACCCCACAGCCAGTGACACCCTGAGCTCCAGGAGCAGCTCTACCTTCACATCTTGTTGCATCCCCTGTCCAGATCCCCGTGGCTGTGCACTCACGGCTCTCCGGCCCCTTCAGCACAAACCCCTTCTGGCAGGAGAAGGCACACGTGGAGCCAAAGGTGAAGTCCCCGTGGACGTGGGAGCAGTTCAGCTCTCCCTTTTCTGGAGCTCTGAGCACTGGGCAGGTGACGGCTGCAGGGGTGGAGAAGCACTTTGAGCAGGAGTCTGAGGACTACAAGGCTAAACTGTTGGAATGAAAGGACCAGGACACTGGAGAACATTTCAGGGTGAACCAGAGGCCTGTGACACCTTGAGCAGCAGCAATACCTTCACAGTGTGATGTGTTCCCAGTCCAGGTCCCCAGGGCTGTGCACTCACGGCTCTGCAGCCCCACCAAGGCAAATCCTGTCTGGCAGGAGAAGGCACACACGGATCCATAGGTGAAGTTGCCATGGAGGTGGGAGCAGTGCATCTCCCCCTGGTCTGGAGCACTGAGCACTGGGCAGGCAATTGCTGCAGAGTGAAGAGGTACACATCAAGCAGCAGCTTGGGAACTAGGAGACTAAAATTCTGGGACCAAGGGGCTGGGGAGCACCACAGTGTCACCCTAAGCCCAGTGACAGCTGGCACTCCAGCCACAGCTCTACCTTCACATCTTGTTGCATCCCCTGTCCAGATCCCCGTGGCTGTGCACTCACGGCTCTCCGGCCCCTTCAGCACAAACCCCCTCTGGCAGGAGAAGGTACACGTGGAGCCAAAGGTGAAGTCCCCATGGACATGGGAACAGTTCAGCTCTCCCTGGTCTGGAGCTCTGAGCACTGGACAGGTGATGGCTGCAATGGAGAGCAGAGCTCAGGGATGGGATAAATGAGGTTAAATCTAATAATTCAGGCTGGATCCAAATCAAATCTTACCCACACTCACCTCTTTGAAACTGTAGTTGGTGCAATGATTTTTCTGCCCTACAAGTGATTTCCTCAGGGGGACACAGTTGCTGCTCTGCCAGAGCCCTGTTTATCCCTTTCACTACCCTGGGCCAAAGCCCCTGGGAGGAAGGACCACAGCTGCTGCAGTCCCATTCATCTCCTTCCCTTTACTGGAGCAGAGACCAGCCTCTGTCCTTGTCACAGTAACAGGAGGACAGCTTTGGGACTGTAAAGCACTACCATGGCTAAAGAGGTTGTATACCAGCCTCCCCTGCCTGTTCCCAGGGTGTGTTTTGCTGCATGCCAGGGTGATACCCAAAGTTTTCTGGGGTGAGTGGCTCTGCTGCCCGTGGGAGCACCAAAGGTCAGTGCCAGCAGGGCATTACCACCACCCAGCCAGCTGAGACAGACTGCATTCTGCTTTCAAACTGACACCAAGCACTTTCCTGGGTAGACTTTTCCTTTTGTAGCTATTTTACAGGCAATTCTGGTTTCCCAGTCCCCAGAGGTGCCTGTTGGTGAACATGCTGTGCAGGTGGGCGCAGCTGACCCAGCCCCTTTGGGGGCCAGCCAGCAATGGGCCCACAATGGCTGCAGGCGAGCATGGGGCAGAGTTTGAGGCAGGACAGGCAGCCTTGCCCCTCACAGTCCTTGCTGCACCACCAGCCTTGCTCTGCTTGTTTCTGGAGTAAGTCCAGCTGGCAATGCTTGCTAACATCATTTTGTTACCAGCACAGGCGACCAACTGACTCATCTGATTGTTTGCAATAAAACAAAAAATCAATCATATTACAGCCAGCAGGAAAAAAACAAGCTGGGAAAGCAAGCCTCTAGGAGCCTAAAAAGCCTGGAGCACACAGGCTCAGCCCAGCTTGTCAGTGGGGATTTTTGCAAAATTGGGAGCCATCTCCTGCCCTTGCCCCTGCTGGGGATACTGGTTACAGAACAGTCACATCACATCTCCATGCCTGTTCCCCTTAGCTGCAGACAGTTTTGCTGGTCTCAGCTACCTAAGGTCCTGGGTTGGACCACAGGCCCAACCAGCACAGGCAGCACTAACTTCAAGGCAGTTTTTTTTTTTTTTAAAGAATATATATACAAAGATGCTTCCCAGTCCCATTCCTTCCCAGTCCCAGTTGTGTCCCACGTCTGCTTGACTCACCCCATCCTTGTGCAAGGCTGTAGGTGTACCACACAGCAGCACAAGAAAGCTGGAGCAAGACTCTTGCACCCCCAAAAAAGCCTGACAGTTCTCTGGGATGCCTGGTGCCTGGCTGCAAACCCTCAAGCCACTGACAGGAAGACTTTCTCTGCCCCTGCAGAATAACATATCACAGCTTTCTCTCCTTTGTGGTTTCCTGCCACACTCTGTCCCACCCAGCTTAAATCTAACCTCATTTCATGAGTCCTTATCCCTGTTCAAGGTGGCCCACCCCTGCCAGGATACACCCTTCCCCTGGCTGTGGGACAGCAGCCCCTCTTTTCTCTTTCCCAAGATGCCAAATGCCTTCCCAAGGCAGATCAGGTGGGCTAGGGGTGAGGGACACTGCCACAGAGTTGACAGAGGAGCCAAGACACCATCCTGACCCCACACTTGATGCACACAGGGTGCTGATATCTGAGTGGGATTCAGGGCAGCAAACATGGGCACTGGGACAGACAGGCAGAACAGGGCCTCACAGCTCACAGCTGCTCTGCCCATTGCAGCCTCCTCAGGGAATCCCACCCCATGATGCAGCACCAGGAGATGCTTCCACAGTAGACAAGGGCACAGCAACAGTTGTCTGAACAGCATTGGGCACATGGGGCTGGTTCCCCCAAAGCATCAATGCTGCATCCCTGAGACCCCCAACCCCTGCTAGGCCCTACCTGTGCAGGTGGGGATGTTTGCTGACCACTCCTGGGAAGGCAGGCACCGCAGCACGCCCGCCCCTCGCCGCTCAAATCCCTCGTGGCACCCAAACGCACAGGTGGAGTTGTAGCTGAAGTCTCCGTAGGGATGGCTGCAGTTCATGGACACTCCCTTGGGCTCCAGCTTGGCACACTGCACAGCTGGGAGAGACATGGTGCCACAGCCCATCAGGAGCACCGGAACCCTGCTTTGTCACCAGGGCTTGGACTCTCCAGCAGGGAGGGAGGGGTGGGGATGGATGTCTCACCATCTGTGCACTCAGGGCCGCGGAAGCCGGGGTAGCACTGGCAGCGGTAGCTCCCAATGGTCTCCACGCACTCGCCACGCTGGCTGCACAGGAAGGGCTGGCAGGAGGCTGCACGCACAGGGGACGGTCATCAGGAGCTGCTGACACCGTGCCAAGGTGCCCAGCCCACCCAACCCAGCTCCGGCCCGCAGTGCCCCTGCTCACCCCGGTAGCACAGCGCCTTCTTCTTCCGGTTGCAGGGCTCGTCGTTCCACTTGCCGGCCTGCTGCGGCCGCTGGATGTAGATCTCCACGCAGTCCTGGTTGGAGCGGCGGTTGTTGGGCTCCCCCCGGGCCCAGTTCTCTGCCTCCTTGGACAGCACCTTCCCGGTGCCCACCCAGGTCCAGATGCCGCCCAGCTTGCGTATGCCGATCCAGTAGTAGCGCCCGTGGAAGGGCAGGCTCTTGTTGAGGTACTCGATCTCCTGCTGGTTCTGGATTGCCACCAGGTCGGTAAAGAAGGTCTGGCAGAAATTCCTGGCCTGCTCCCAAGTGTAGTCCCCTTGGTCACTGTAGTGGTAGGTCCAGGCACCCACCTGCATCCACAGCACCATGCCTGGGAAAGAGGATGAGGTCTGGGATTGGTGCAGAAAGGATGGCAGCTGGGTCAGGGGTGGGATCTCTTGGGACATGAGGGTGGGCTAAGCCTGACATTGTGGCCAAGAGATGCCAGGGACAGGCTGGGTGAAAGGACTGGATGAAGGGGTGACTGTGGATGAGAATGGGACTCCATGGGTAGACACGTGGCAGAAGGAGATGAGGACAGAGGGGGATGGCACAGGGACAAGGAAGGTGGAGGTGACAGGGTGAAGGCTGAGATGGGGCAGCACGGAATGAGGCAGGCAGAGCACAGGAGGCAGAAGAGCCCCAAGCAGTGATGCCAGCCCTCCTCCAACATAAGGATTGAAAGCTCAGCCCAGTGGCCCTCTTCCCCTGCCCACAAAAGCTTCCCAAAGAGGAAAGTCCCACTTCAAGATGGTTCCATAAACACAGTTCCTTCCTTGAGTGCAGATGTGTATACTTTTCTTGCTTTACCCCACTACATGAGAGCCAGATTGGAGCAAGGCAGAGCAGCAAATATGCCCTCACCCCCGAAAGCATTTGGACCCCAACCTGCTCATCTGAGACAGAGATGGTCTAGAGTCTTGTAAAACTCAGTGTTGCAAAACAAGGTCTTTCAAAAACAAGCTCATATTATGGTCATACCCAGCAGGCAGGGCAAAGCCAGAAAGTAACTGGAACCCACACCCAGAAATGAAGGGCACTTTGCTGAAACTCTGCTCTTATTTACAGCATTTCACACCACAACTTTATGCAATCAAAGGGTTTCAGCCACAGAAAGAAGCTTCCTCCATTCTCCCAGGAGCAGCTATCTCCACAACTGCAGAAAGTAATGTGAGGATATCATATCTCCATCTGTGCAGAAAGGGAGATGAGGATCAAAGTTTGCTCCAAACAACCAGCCTGGCTTACGCTGTATCTCAGAAGAGCATTTTATCACTCTGCAGTTGTGCAAAGATCCAGGCATTGCAGATGAGATGCAAATACACGTCTTCTAAATGTCTAATTAGGGCTGTACTTTGATCCATTGTTATACAATTTTGTAAGTAATTTCCCATAATTTGTCTGGTTTTTCTTGTGAAAGAGCAAACTATCCTCTTTGTTCAACAGAACTGAAGCTGGGGAAAATGTGGTTCCCTCTTTACCTTTTGGGAATTTGGGCCTGCAGGACAGGAACTCAAGGCACCTTCTGGGAGCCTGCCCCATCCTCAGCTCCCACCAACCTCCTCCTGGCCCCTGCTGCTCCCCAGCACGGCTCAAGGCTGCTACCCTCACACAGCCCATCCCCAAACTGAGAAGGACCAAAGTTTGACATCTGCTCCATGTCTGTCCTCCACATGCTCTCCTACCTCTTTCCTCCAGCTCCACCAGTTACACCCTTTCTATGGCACAGCTCATCTCCCTGGTGTTATGCTACTTGTCCCTGCCCCAGCTGGTGCTGAGCCCCCAAATGAGTGCTGTTTTCCTGTGGTTTGACCCCTTGCTCCTGTGGCAGCCCTGATACCTCTTCCTAGGGTGGTGCTCAGCAGTTGAGGTGCCTTTGCCTTTTGGTTTTCTCTCAGAGCCAAATCTCAGCCTCCTCCTGACACTGCACTTACCTCATTTCCGTTCCTTAGCTCAGTCACTAAGGTTCTTAGGAAAATAATTCAGCTCACAGAGGATTTCCAGGAACAGAGCAGGCACCAGTAGGTTTTGCTCTGTGCAATGCCAGTATGTGAAGGAAATACCCTACAGGCAGCAAAACCAAGTTAGTTTCTGTACTCCTGATGTCAATTAGCAGCTCTAATTCTGTGTGGTGCTGCCCCAGCTGTGCTATGAACCCTCACACCCATGGTCCTGTGACTCCATCCATGCCCAACTCCCCAGCACGGGCATGGGTGTGGGCGGTGGGTAGAGCTGCCCTGCCCTTCTCCGGTTTGCAGTACAGTTCACAGTACCAGCTGCCACGCTGCATTTGGGGAACCAAACATCCTGCAGGGACCTCAGCCATGGCCTGGCCCCTCCTGGGGGAGCACAGTCTGCCTGGAGGGAGCTGGCACAGGCAGGGCCAGCCCCCTCCCAGCCCAGAGGGATCCAGCCCTGGGGATGGGCCGCTGAGCCCCCAAAATAACAATGCTGCATTTCTCCAGTTTCTCACACCTGCAGACTCCTTGGCAGCAGGGTCACACTGGGCTTACTGAGGGGGTAGTGGGTGGCTTACCCCATGTGATGGCAGCAATGCCCAGGGAGGTGCCAGGAGAGCCCAGAGTCCGTGTCCTCGTGGCAGATTGCAGTCCCACAGCAGCGCCCTGACAGAGAGGGAGACATGAGCGGGCACATCCCAAGGGGTTCACACGTGCACCCACACCACTGCCAGGCAGTCCTGGCTCACGCAAGGGCAGTCGCTCGTGGCACTGGCACGCAGGCACACACGGTGTCCTGTGCCCTGGAGCCCCTTCCTGCCCAGCCAGGGCTGGCATCTTCCTCTGCAGTGCCCTGCGTGCCTGGCAGTGTCCCGTGAGCCTGGGGTCGCTCGGGCAGGGTGTCCCCGGGCCAGCGTGCATGTGTCCCACAGCCCCCAGCTGTGGTTCCTGTCAGTGCCTGCCCACAGCCCTGCCCTCCCCTGATCCCCTTGTCCAGGCAGACCCTCAGCCATGCCCGAGGAAAGGAGCAGTTCTTACCATGTTGGTGCCGCGGCTGCCCCGTGCCCAGCCCGCAGCGGCTGTCCCTCAGTGGGCAGTGCTGCTCACGCTTCCTCCGAGCCTGCAGCTCCCTGCCCCCGGCCTCTTCCCCTCCCATCCCAGCCCCGCTGCCAGCCCACATCCTGCCCCACACCCCCGCCCTCCCCTTCCTTCTCTAGCCCCAAGAAACCCTTCTCTGAGCCCGGGGCTGGAGGCAAACAGTGGGGTCAGCACTGGCCACAGTCCTCATGGACCTAGCTTGGCAGCAGCCCCATGGCATAGGAGCTGGCTGCATCCCCGCTGCCATGGGGACATGACAGCCACAGGAATGACCCACAACAAGCCAGGATTGCCCAAGCACCCCAGAAGGAGGAGAAGGGCCCCCTGAAAAGTGTTCAGCCCCAGTCCATGATGCCCAGAGCACCAAGACCTCTCTGACCCACTGTGTCCATGTGGCAGCACCCACACTGGTGGAGGAGACAGGAGGCTGAGGTGTGATGAGGTCCCTCGTGGGCTGAGTAGGACAGTGGCTCACCACCTCTCAGCTCCATGCCAGACACTCTCCTCGCATGCAGGTGTTTTGCTCTGGCTGTGAATCTTCATATACCATTTATAAACACTTACTTACACAATGTATTTTCTGTCTTTGCCTTTAAGTCTTTATGAGAAAGGTCCAGGAATATGCCAGAGGAACTTCCCCCTGACTTATTAACATCCTTTAGGAACTTCCACCAGTGTTTCAGGAACATGTCTAATTGTGTCCACCGCCCCTTGGATCATTATAATAATTATAATTCTTACCCTGTCCTGCTTGTAAGTAGAATTGCCTTGGCCGGGTTTTCTGCAGAAATTACTCTGCTCACTTCCAGCTAAAGCCAAACAAGAGCCATGCAGGTCACATGCATTTTCCAGTTCCAAAGAAATTGATGCTGCTCCACCAGGACATTCTAGACAAAAGGAGGAACCCATTCCACAAGAGCCATAACCCACTATAATTATTTTATCGTTGGCCAATATAAATGAACCTTGTTTCCTGTCTCTGGATCTCTTCCTTGAAAAATGTTTTAATGCAGTTGTTTCTTTCTATGGAATTGCTGAGTCTGTATACCCAGTAATTCAGGAACACTTGATTTCTAGCAGCTCCTCTGCCAAGAGTGGTCAGTTATGGGAAGGGAAGGAGCAGCCAGACAGGCAGAGAGGCTGAGGGGCAGCTGCTGGGGAGGAGACCAGCACCAAGTGCTGAGGGTCACCTGGCAGGGTGGGGGCTGCCCCTCCTACAGGTGAGAGACTGCTGGGACTCAGAGGGATGTTCATGGGTACACAGCCTCAAGGCTGTGCCCCTGCCAGTTTCACTTCTGCTGGAACCCAACATGGCAGGGCAGAGCGGTAGAAAAAAATACTCCCACCTTTATTTTTGTAACTACAAATAGTTGCTGGTATTGCTTTAAAAATGGAATCAAGGTGTCTGAGATGCAGAGGCTGTTGCTGCTGCGAAGACAGAAAATGACCAAGTTCGAGCTCTGTGTGGAGGCAGGTGCCCCATGCCTGGGTTCAGAGAGGCAGTCCTACATGGCAGAATGGATACTTGGCAGGATGGAGGCTTGCTTGGCAGGTAGTGGAAAAAAGTACACATGGTAGAGGGGAGAGAAGACCTGAATCAGCTCTGCTGGGAGCTGGTTAATCACCAGGAGCCCTTTCACATCTCAGGTTATTTCCAAGGTTGGCTTCCCTGGAAGGGATTCAGGATGCTGCAGAGCACATGCTCCTGCTGGATTCCTGCTGCTCTGCTCACCAAGGAAGGGGCTGAACAGTGTGGGGGTTTCCCAGGTGTCAGGATGGTGCATCCTGTACCCCCAGCCATCCCTCTGAGGACACGAGGCAAGCTGCCAGCCAGGGCTTTGCTCAGCATGGGCTCAAGGGAGCAGGTACAAAGACCCTTTCCTGTGTCACCCCTGCCCTGTCCCTCCAGACCCAGGCACTGGCATGGAAAAGCGCCTCCTTTGCTGTGCCCCAGTGCTGAGCAGCCCTCGGGGCGATGCTCTCAGCGCTCCGGAGCCGTGCCGCGGGCTCTGCCCCTGGGGAAGGGCACGGCCGCGCGTTGTTTGGGGCAGAGGCTCCCACCCCAGGCTGGCACAGCGTGTTCCCCTCCTTGTGCAATGTGCCCGCAAACCGCACAGGAACCGAGTCACCCGACACGGCCCGGCGGCTCGGCTGCTGCCCGCGATACAGCGGGCACCTTCCTGGGAGCCCCAGGGCTCACCAGGCACCGCAGGCACCCGATCCCGCCCGGCAGGGCTCTGGGGTGCTGCCGGCCAGGACACACACGCCTGGGTGCAGCCCCGCCGCTGCCATCCCTCCGTTCTCCCCTGGGGACACGGGCGGCTCTCCCTGAGGCTTTAGGGGCATCTCCTGATCGCGGGCAGGACATCCCTTCCACCACAGGTCCCCAGAACGCGTTTAACCCAGAGGCCGGCCCTGAGATGCAGAGTGCCTTTGGGCAAGTCTGCCAGCGCACAGCTCCAGCAGCCGGAGCCTCCTCCTCCACCCTTTTATCAGCTGCTGCCCCGCCTCAAGCAGCACCTGATAAAATCTTTCTCACAATTTGAAAGCGTTTGGACACCGGGAGACGCATTAAGGGTACTACCCTGGCTTGGAGGGACTGAGATGATCGCAAGGATTAGCCAGGAGCAGAAGTCCAGGGGCAGGTACCCTGTAGCCCGCACCCACAGGGACCTTGAGGTGCTGGGACAGCCCTGGCTGTGGGATATAGGGGTAGTTTTGGGCAAATCGCTCCTGCCCACCCTATCCAGACCCTCTCAGAGATGTTTGTTTGACTTCAGCTGTAGGACAGTTCTCTGCCTCCTCCCTTTCATTGGGAAGCTGGTGCTGGAGAGCCTTTTCACTGGGCATCACTGTCACACGGGTACCCCTGCCCGTGCTGCCTGCCGGCTCCCTGGCACCTGGCACCGGCCACATGTGCACGGCACAGATAAGGGTTTGCCAAACAGGATGCCTGGGGCATAGATAACACCGACATTATCTCACTGCTTGAGTGACAGGGAGTAAACAAGTGACTCTGCCCACCCGGGGAATCCCAGGCGGCACCTCTGCCCTGCCAGCGAGCTGGGGCACAGGATGGGCACAGACTGCTGGGGTGCAGCTGCAGGGATGTGCCACATCCAGGGGCAGCCCTGCGTGACAGCCAGACCACTCAGCCTACAGCTCCTAGGAACTGTGACTGCCCTGCTTCTGCCCTGCCTGGCTCTCCATGGCACTGTGCATCCCTGGAACGCTGAGACAAGCCACTGCTCACCTGGCCCTGCCCCAGAAGAACCCATCCTCCTGGCAGGACAGTGGGACCAGCCACACTGGCTGGTGTGGGGGCAGCCCAGGCACAGGAGGCACTGGCAGCCAATGAACCAGGCCACCCTCACCTTGGACACCACCAGTGCTTTTGTAGCATGTCTGGTTTAATGCAGAGATTTCAACCTTCTCCCATCTCACATAGCAAAACCGGAGCCAGATTCCTCTGCCTGTCACCTCTGTCACCTGCTGTGTACTATTGCATCACCTGCTGTGGGCTATTGCCAGCTCCCCTCCCTGGGCAGCAGATGAACTCAGCACCAAGAGCCGTGTCGCTAGCCAAGGCTAGCCCCTGCACAGCAAAAGACATCCTCTCCTCGGGCCAGGAACTGCTGTGGCATCTCCTCCAGCTGTGCCCAGCTGTGTTTCACCCGAGACAGAAGCAACCTGAGGACATTCTTCCCCTTCTGGCAGGCCAAGGCCGAGCTTTCTTCTTCTAAAGGTTCCTCTTTCTTTCTCACCTCCCTGCTTCAGCACACAGCCTGTCTGGCTCGGCTGCTGCCAGTGATGCAGCAGACACTCTCCTAGGTGATGATTTCTCCCCTGGGATCTTGGTTACCTTTCTGCTCAAAGGAGTTATTGTGTTGTCTATTTGGATTAGTGATCTATTATCTGCAGATAGGGCAGGCACTGGTACAACATGTTTTAAAGTCTTTTTTTATGTAGAGATGCAAAGTGCCCTGTCTGCACTGCCCCAGCTGCTGCAAACTGCTGGGCTCTGCCGAGTGCAGCATCCCTTGGTGTGTGACCCCAGGGACAGGGTAGCCCTGTCTGAGTCGCTGCCTCTGTGGCCATCCAGCGCTCCATGCACAGGGTGGGTGGCCCTTGCTGCAGCTGGCTTTTCCTAAGAGTCCTGACTTCTGGGGCAAACCCCTGCAAAAAAGAAACAAAAGCTAAAACAATGAGGGGAGGGCTGTTCCTAGCCACTTGTTGTCACCTTTGAAATTAATTCTTACTCCTGTGACCTCTTGCTGCACTGCTTTAAGAGCAAGATGGTCACAGACAACAATTTAACAGTGCTTCATCCATGGGCAGAGGGGTACAAGATCCTTCACATCTAAGGAGCAAAAGCAAAACGTCTTTTCTCCACTTTTCTGACAGGAAATGGCAAGGCAACATCGGCAGTGCTTTCCTAGCTTCTTTTTATTTTTATTTACCCTTAAGGAAAAGGACTATTTTGCAGAGAGGCATCTTGGGAGGACTCACTGGCCCGACAGGAGGTGAGGCAGGACATTCTACCCCTACCCACCCCTGCTGCCCTGTGCGACTCAGGCGGCCCAGCCCCGTACCGGCACCGTACCTGGCTTCTGAGGGCAGGGCGCAGCTCCCCGGCCTGCCCGGCTCCGGCCCTTCTCTGCTGCCTCCGCGGCTGTCACACCATCGTCACACGAAGGCTTCCCGGTGCTCTGCAAGGCCTGGAATCCCGCTTTTGCCCCCCAGGCCCGGAGGCCCTCGGGCAGAGGCGCGGGGCCGGGAGCAGTGTCCTCCCCGAGGGACAGCGGCGCGGGCAGCGTGCGGGGCTGTGCGGGCCGCGGCCCCGCTCCCGTGTGCCGCGGCGGTGCCGGGCCCGAACCGTGGGGGTGCCGGGAGCCGCTGTGCCGCGTCCATTGGCCCGCGGGCCGTTGCTCTCCACGATGAGCCGGAGAAGGCCTGCGCCAGGGAAGTCCATGATGACCACCCCCCAGCGCACGGGCTGCCCGGCCCGGCGCCGCAGGTGCTGGCAGCAGCGGGGGTTCACAAAGCGGGCCACCTCCTCTGGGCAGGTGAAGAGCCCGTTGCCGGAGCAGAAGGTGAGGTACATGGTGCTGGGGTCTCCGCCGGCCGCCTTCTCCAGGTGCCGCCGCACCCGGGCCCACTTGCGCTCCAGCGAGAGCACGTTCCAGGCGTCGCTGATGCTCAGCTGCTCGTAGGGGATGCCCAGCACTTCCCGCGCCAGCGCCTCCAGCACCACTATCTTCCCGCGCACCTGGCCCAGCGTGGGCACCTCCTCCCGGCACCACACGCAGCCCTGTCCCTCTTCCAGCAGGCAGTGGTGCAGCTGGGCGGCGAAGCCGGGCCGGGAGAAGATGGGCAACTCCTCCTTGATGCGCATAAGCACGGCCTCGCCGGGGTGGGCGCGGAGAAAGCGCAGGGTGCGGCGCAGGACGCCGCGCAGGCTGGCCCGCTGGAAGGTGCAGAGGTGGTAGATGCGGAGCTCCCCCCGCGACAGCTTGCAGCGCACATCCAGGAAGCGGATGCCGGCCGCCAGCTGGGCCTCCAGGCCCCAGCTCTGGCACCGCAGGCGCCGGCCACCGAATAGGCTGAGGGAGTCGTGGGTGCCAGGGATGGAGAGGTGGGAGAGGGGCAGGGCGTCGGGGAGCCCCGCCATCCAGTCAGGGCAGCAGGCTGCCGGCTGGGGCACACAGTCGAAGGCAGCGCTGCGCCGGGACCATGTCTCCATGCCGCCGGGAGAGCAGGCACCTCGGCACCTGGCTGGCCCCCCAGAGCCCTGCCGTGGAGGAGAAGCAGACCATGAGCGGTGGGAGCATATATCCCCATCCCACTCTCCCAGTGGCATCCCCACCGTACTATAAAACCCTAGAACACACCATACCCTATGACCACATGCGCCCCATATACTTTGCTGCCTGTACTTCTGTCACACTGTACTGTTCTCCTGCCACTCTCAAGCACCCGTCCCAGTACCCCTGAGCCCTGGTACGCCCCAGCCTCCCCCTCATTCACGCACCTGGGTTTGCCTGTGGCTGTGGAGCAGAGCCCAATGAGCAGGGCACGGCCGTGGGTGCTGGCGGCACACTGGCAGGTGGAGCGGGATGCCAGCCATTAACCCGGTGACTGTCATGACGCGCGTCCTGCCTCGCAAATGGCACGTGCACCTGGGATTCATCCTCAGCCCTCGGCCAAGGAGCGCACTTGACAGACACACCAGGCTGGAAAACCACCTGGCTGATCCCGACAGCAGCCATTCAAGCCTCTGCACCTCCCTCCCCAGGAATCAGGACAAACGGGATCGTGGTGCCGCGGGGCCCCTTGATGCTGCCCACGGGAATGGCTGCGCAGAGCCTGCATGCCTGCTCCAGAGCTGTGTCCCGGTGGGACCCGGACCGCCCCGGTGAGGATTGGCGTCGTCCCTATCAGAGAGACAAAGCACAGAAAGTGTCCAGAGCGGGGGTCTGCGCTTGCCAGCACATCCCAAGATCTGCTCAGTGAGAGTTCCTAAGGAAAGGGGTTTCATCTCCTTGCTCTTCAGGCACCAGGGACTACTTCACAGTGGAGTCACTGCAAGGCTGCCCGGCGGGGAGTGACCCACCTCCTGCCCAGGGGACAGAGCTGCCGAGCACCCCGGCCGGCAGCACGTGCTGAGCACAGCGGGGTTTGGAGAGGAGCCGCCGCACAGGTCACAGACCCCTCCGAGCATCCCTCCAGCTCGCATCCCCTCCGCCTGAGCTGGGTGGGCACAGGGATCCTCGGGGGGCGTTCTGTCCTGTCACTGCAGGAACAGCCCGCGGGGACCGGCCAAGGGGCACCTTCCCTCAGCAGCGCCCGGGCTGAGCCGGGGTCCCAGGGCCGCCCCCGCCCCGACAGCCCCGCCCGGGCCCCGGCAGCCCCGTCCGGGCCCCGGCAACGGCCCGGTGTGGCGCCCGCCCGCGGCTGCCCGGGCACGCAGCGCCCGCCCGCGGAGCCGAAGCGCGGCCGCGCAGCCGCTCCCGGCCCGGCCCCGCCCGCTGCTCTCGGCATGGCGGCGGCGGGCGGCGGCAGCAGCTGCTTCGTGCTGGGCGCCTCCGGGGAGACGGGCCGGGTGCTGCTGCGGGAGCTGCTGGCCCGGCGGGCCTTCGTCCGGGTCACGCTGATCGGGCGGCGCCGGCTGAGCCTGGGCGAGGCGGAGGCGGCCGTGGTGCGCGGGCCGGGGGACAGGGCTGGCCGTGGCGGCGGGGAGCGGGCCGGCGGCGCTGACCCTCGGCCTTCCCGCAGGAGCAGGCGGTGGTGGACTTCGAGCGGCTGGGCGAGCACGCCGCCGCCTTCCAGGGACACGACGTGGGCTTCTGCTGCCTGGGCACTACCAGGGCCAAGGCTGGCGCAGTGAGTGGGGACCCCCTGAGCCCCGGGCGAGCAGGGGTCCCGCCTGTCCCCTCCCCTGCCCGCTCCCTGCCCCGCTGACCCTCCCCTCTCCCCGCAGGATGGCTTTGTCCGTGTGGATCGGGACTACGTGGCGCAGGCAGCCGAGCTGGCGCGGGCAGGGGGCTGCAAGCACTTTATCCTGCAGTCCTCCCGGGGGGCAAACGCACAGAGCCGCTTCCTCTACCTCCGCGTGAAGGTGAGGGGGCTGCTGGGGTGGGCTTCTGATGCTCGTGCAGGAATCATGGGATGCCAGGAGGTTCGGGAAGCAAGCAGGAGCTGAGGTTTAGAGATGCAAATGGCTCTGGGGGTCCTCCTGCTGCTGCGGGAACAGGGAGGGGGCTGGCTGGACAGCTGTGCAACTGGCTTCTTATAAAGCAGCACAGCACAATGCAGCGTCTGCCTCCCTCCTCAAACTCCAGAAACATCTGCTGGGGTCTCCAGCCCAACAACAGTTCCCCAGCCTTAAATTGGTATAGCTTCACAGCTATGTGGGAAGCTCAGGGCTGTGGCCAGGTGAGACATGAACTACCTCCTGAGGGAAGGCCTGCAGGCTCCCCAGGGAGGACCACACCCGTCGCAAAAGCTTTTTTGTCCATGTGTTGTGTGCTGCAGCTCCCAACACCTGCTGGACTCAGAGCTGCCTGCCAGCGCCTTGTGCCACCTGGATCCATCCCCAGGCTGGATGCTGAGTCCAGATGCTCTCCGGAGCAGCCTGTTGCAGTTTAGCACAGTTTAGTGATGGTTGCAAGGGCGCACTGCTGAGCCGTGGTCCGTGTCCACCACAGGCCCTCGCCCCGGCTGCCTGGCCTGGAGAGCTGATCCCTGCCTGGCCTACTCCAGCCTCACGTGTGTGTTAGTGCCACCCTGCCCTCGGCTCAGCAGCCCTCTCCTGACTGTTCATGGGGGTGGCAGGGATGGTGCTTGCAGTCATCCTTGTCTCCTTTCGTCCTGCCTGGCGGCTCTGACAGGGAGAAGTGGAAAACCTGGTCCAGGCTGTTGGTTTTGATCACTGTACCATTCTCCGGCCAGCGTGAGTAGTGTGGAGGAGGGAGGGCACAGGGTGCAGGGTTGCCAGGGCAGCAGGGAAATGCTTCAATGGGAGATGGAGGAAGAGAAAGGATACATGAGGGTAGGGCTGGGGAGGGAAGTGGAGAATGCCAGCAGAGGCAAATGCAGCTCATGGATGAGCAGACTGCTTCCCAGTGCTGCAGGGAGCAATCTCTGCAGTTTCCTATGGCCCATTCCACTGCTAGTGCCATGCACCATGCAAGGACAGGCGCTTTGGGCTGAAAGCATAGGTTGAGGCACATAGGTCAGAGCTTAGCTCCAGGTGGACCTTGACCATATGGAGAGGGAACACTCTCCTGTGTCCTTTCCGGTGTACTGTGCTCTTGATACCTAGGAGAACTGGAATTCTGCCCTCATCAGCACAGTGGGGAAAGGAGTTTAGTGTCCGAGGGCTCAGCTCTGTCACATTGCATGACCCTGTCAAGACCCCAAAGCCCATGTCAGTTCAGGGAGCCTGTCTGGGCCCTGGTGCAGCTGGAGAACTCAGTCTCTGGCTCTCACCGTGGATTGTTTCATGCTGACCCACCTCACCTGCTTGCTCTGCAGGGTGCTGCTGTGCAGGCGCCAGGAGTCCCGGCCCATGGAGTGGATAGCCCAGCAGTTCTTGGGCGCTGTGGCTCAGCTGTTCCCCACCGCTTACTCAGTGCCTGTGGAAATGGTGGCCAGGGCTATGGTGGCCTGTGCACTGCAGCCAGGAGAGGGCAAGGTAAAGGTGCTGGAGAACAGGGCCATCCATGAGTTAGGAAAGGCAGTGCCACAGCAGGGCACATAGGGCAGCAGGGATGACACGCAGGAGCTTGGTTCACTCTTCAGATGCTCTCTGGGCTGAGGATGAACGCACACATGGGAGAGGTGTGGGGTGCTTGCATGGCTAGCGTGGAGCCAGAGGTACATCCACTTCTTTGCACTTTGGCTGATTCTCTCAAGGGATCAAAAATGCAGGTGCTGGCTGCTGGGTGGGGATAAACAATGTGCTCTGCTGCCTGGATCCATAATACAAATACGGGTAAAGATGATGTAATCCAGGCCTTGAATAAAACCCTGTGACTGATCTGGTTGTGCCGGCTTTGTGTTGAAATAATGTCTGTCACCCACATGTCAATAACCCAGCCTCAGCCTCATGTGCTCAGATCGTGTCACTTCAGAGAATGCTCACAGGCAGGTGACAGGCACAGGAAGGCAGCTGCCTGTGTGGAGGCTGCACTTGACAGAGCACATGGTGGCACCAGTGCTGTTTGGATAGCAGAGCTCCTGGATGCTCAGCAGCAGCTGCTGAGGCGCCAGGAGTGTCTGTGCAGACACTGCTGGGCTCATCTGCTCAGGGTGCGGGGCTCTAGGGACGCTGCTGCTCACACCTGGCCTGCCACTTGGTACCTGTAGTCACAGAAACACCATGCAAGTACTTGCAAACGCCCGTCCCTCTGGGCTTTCCTTGCGGGCACGAAAGAGCCTGAGCCCAGCCCCGTTTTCCCAGGAGTGCTCTGCGTGTGCAAAAGTTGAGGTCAGCCCTGTGCACACCATGTAGGGGGCTTGCTCCTGCCCAGGTGCCAGAAGGGGAGCAGGCACGAGGAGCAGGGCAGTGTCCCAGGCCCCGGCTGCTCTCAGGCCTCGTGCTCGGGGTCGAGGAACTCAGTGGCTCCCCACAGGGGATGCAGAACATACGTGACTCCCAAGTTCCCTGCTGGCCAGAGTCCCAGTGCTCCGGGTAACGCTGCTTTCCAGGATTCTCTGACCTCACCCACGGCTCCTGTGTCAGTGACTTGGATGTGGCAAACGGAGGGAGCCTAGATCTCATCTCCTCCTTCTACACAAGCATTTCCATCGTTGGCTTGGGCCTCAGGAAGTTGGTGCAGGCAGTGAGACGGTGTAGGCCTGCACCTAGGCAACTCCTCAGCCATGTGAGGGGCTCAGTTCAAAGAGGCCACAGAGCCACAGCTACTGATAAAGACTGTCCCAGTGAGAGCAAAACACCTTGAGAGCAGTGCACAAAGGGAAATGAGAGCTAGGCTGGTCAGCATCATGCGAGTATGAGGAGCACAAAGGCTGGTCACCTGCAACACTGGCTTACACAGGCATGGTGCACTCAACGCTCAAAGAGATTTTTATTAGAAGGGCACGTGCTTATACGAGGGAGTGCAAATGAACATCTGAAGTGGCAGGACCTTAAAGAAGGGAAAATTGAGATGAGAGAATAAAAAAAAAGAATTCAAGCTCTGGAAAAACCAGGTGAAAAGCAAGCCACAGAAGATGTGAGAAAGCATCCTAAAGGCATAAACATGAATTATGGCTATGTGAGAAGCAGAAAGTTCTCCAGGGAGGCTCAAGGACAGGATGTGATCAGGCTCTTTAGGAAGGAATGAGCCATCAAAGAAAGCCTCGCTGAGTTACTTGCATTGCCCTTTGCTGTTGGGGAGCTCACACTACCATCATTCCTTAGGGGACACACATTTGCATGACTGTCCCAAAGCATGCAGGGGAAAAAATATTTTTTAGCACCATTTTTAGAACACATGGTTAAAAGTCAGCCAAAAGGAGCACTCAGATGAATGTCCAGATACTCTCCTGGGTGGCAATTGCAGTGATCCCTTTACCAAAAGGTCAATATTATTAAATATGATGCTAGTTCTTAAAAAGTTCCAGTGGGAACCAGGAAACAGCAAAGCAGCTAGGCTGCCTTCTGTAAAAGGCATGTTGCTAGAAAGGATAATAGAGTCTGGAAATAACAGGGCCAAGGATAAATTGGGTGTAATGGGAGATTCCATGTGGCTTTTGAGAGGTCAGTTGCAAGGCACAAGCCTAGATCCCTCTTGGAGGAAACCAGCCGTTGTGTACACAAGAAAATCTGCTCCTCAGAGTGCACTCAGATCTCC